CCCCTGCCCTGCCTTTCCCGTCCCGCTCGTCCAATGCGATGGGGCACTCTGTTGACTCCATTCGTTTGGGAAAGGGCGGCATGCGCCCCTTCAGGTCGCCATGATTACATACAGAGCCACAGGTCCTTGAAGGTCACCCATAACCTCGTGAGGAAGGCCCATTCATTTGGACAGCCACAACCCCGAGCACCATCCAGGTCCGCATCCCCCGCCAATCCCCCAACCCCACCCGGTAACCCCTAACCCTTCTCCACAGCGACCGCCATCAACCCCCCCCCGGGGTTGTGGGAGGGCACTGCTCACACTGTGATCGGGGCCGAGCATGAAGTCCAGCAGCTTGCCGATGGGCCAGGCGATGGGGCTGCAGATCGTCATGAGGATTCGCACAAACCAGGCCGAATACGCCCCCACTTTGAGGCCGTATCGGCTACAGACGGCTTGAGGGATAATCTCCCCGAATACGAGCACTACTGATACAGACAAGATGACGGCGGTGACAGGGTCCGCCAGCCGATCGATGAAAAGGGGCAGAGCCTGCAACGTTGTCGGAAATGGGTTTCCTGTTCAGCTTCGCAAAACAGAAATGATGTTACTTGAACTTATTGGTAGATGGTATACTAAATGTCAGCCGCTTTAGTGGCGTGTATATGCGACACACTAAATGCAAGTTATACCTACCTCCGTCGCTGCCGCATTGCATAGGAGTAAAGTAACAAGCAAGAAATGTTGATGTTTAATCACCTGCAATCGACCCAAAGGGCTAAGGAGTAAGACAATTTTGCTTGCGACACAACGATTTTTCGACGCTCAACATACCGGCATAATCTTTATCGCGCAGGCACGTTCTTCCGGTGTACCACTCCGCTTAAGGACCTGCAATTTACCATAATAGCTGTCACGGGTTTTGGCCAGGATACACTTGCTTCAGTTGCCAGGTCCAACCTCAAGCTCCACGGTATCTAGCGACATCAAACCAAGCGTTAATCCACTCATCAAGCCAGCCATAAGGACTAGAAATAAAGCGATACATATGTAAAGGGTGAATAAGAACTCGTCCTCTTGCGCACTCCCGCTCGAGTCGGGGGGATCTTCGCCACCCAGGAGTCCTCTTCGGAGGATGTACATTTTGCGTCTATTGATACACAGGAGCAACAGCAATGACCGGCCTGTAGGATGTCAGCAGCGCGTTTGAGTACGGCACCATAGGACGAGCCTTACGAAGGTAATGTAATGTTCTTGATCGATGCACTGGAGCCCGACAGTCCTGGGGCAACGCTTGTACACATCATTTTCATTATTTTCAATATATCGTAGCTACGCCATAGGTTCAAATTAATTACTTCTGTTCGGCTTTCCCCTTTCGCGCCAGTTATTTCATCTTCCCTTCTTATTTGTCTGTTGACTGCTTTTGACTCTTGTCTATTATGCTCCTGGCTCGTCTGGCCTGATGAGCTCAAGTCTGATAGGTGCTGTTCACGGATGACCGGCCCTATTTGACTTTTACTAGCAGGAGGCGATTTCCTTGATGGTGTAGTATTTTCGAAATCTGTTAGCATGGTTTTGGAAGGTTTATAATTTTCACATAATATTGTGAAATTGCAGTGCATTCGGGCCTGTAGGCGGGCCGTATTCTTGCAGTTCTATGACGCGGCCTGCGGCCTGTGGTCAAAATAGGGCCGGTCATCCGTGAACAGCACCGATACCCAATTTTAATAATTTGGTATCCGCCTTGGGGCCGCGCGGCATGTCCTGTAGTTCTTCTGTTTGTAGGATGCGCAAAAATGTTCGTGCTACTGCTACGTCCTAACATGGGCCATACGCTTGGCCCTTATAACCTTCCCATTAGCGGCTCACCCTGACGAAGCACACCTTACCGACAACTGGCAAAGATGCGGCGATGTTAAATTGAGCTTCATTTTACACGACGCCACGCGGAACTTAAAGGACTTAACAGGATGCAAGGCATACAAAGCTTTTATCCCGGTGTGCATGTGTGCATGTATATGTGCGTCTTGAGGGCGTCCGGCGCTTTGCTGATTCTAACAGTGACGTCTTGTGTCTATGTACGACAAAGCCAGTGCTTTTTAAGAAGCAAGGGATACGACCCCGGGGTGTTGCCCTAGCCCAGCACATGTGCTTCTCGACAAGGCGCCCATGTTTAAAAAGAAGGCATGATGCCATTCCTTTATACGATAAAAGATAAGGTGCAGTGCACGGTCAGACGCCGCCAGGTTGCAGCCCGCCCCGCCCCGCCCCGCCCCGCCCAGCCCAGCCCAGCCCAGCCAAGGCCTACTTACTCGGGTCCCGTCGTCCAATCCAGTGTGTTCCAGTGCAGTGATCAACGTCCTAATCAAGCACACGTCGCAGCCCTGCTGAGCACACACACACACACACACACACACACACACACACACATGTAGCCATTCTCCCCAAACTAACTTTAGCAGCAGCAGCAGCAGCACCAAAGCACTTTCAGCAAGAGGGCCGCAGGGAGCTCTTCCCCGGGGAGCCCATCAAGCCATACACGGCACGCAGGCCCCCGTCCGCTGCTTGGCCCCTGCTAGCTGGTCCAACAAAAAAATGCGATCAGTCTTTTTTTTTAATGTTCAATTGTCTCGACATGTGGAGAAGCGGAGGGCCACCGCACGCATATTAGGCAAACACTGCGTCGTCCACTGTACGGTGAAGGCGGAGATGCGAGCGAGGTAGAACGAAAATGTGCAAGTACAAGCGAGCAAGATGAAGTAAGAGACGGCGGCAGTAGACTCGGTCATCGGCCACCTACGGTATCGGTCCCCCATTCGCCCCAGCGCATGTGCACTTCTTTGAGGGGGCCGTGGGTCCGCATCCGCGCCTTGTTCAGGTCCCGAACGGTGGCGGCCCTTCTGGAAAATGCCCTCATCAGCCTGCCTCTCAGCCTGCCCTCTGTCCCTCCCTTTCCGGGCCGGGCAGGGGCGGTCAGGGCGGGGCGGGGCCCATCACCCGGGTCCAAGGGTGACCTAATCACAAGCTCGTGTGTGCAAGGCCGAATTGAATAACAGGCAATTGTATACAGTATACACAAACACACACGTATACGAACAGTTCCCTTTCCCCCGCACGCACGCATACGCGCACACACACACGCACACACACACACACATACGCACACACACATACGCACATACGCACACACACACGAGGTGCAATGGCGGCAGGGGCGGCATCGAATGCCAGGACAACGGTGACATTAAAAAATACCAGCAGCAGATCATATGTTTTTCCATAAACAACGATTCCCAACCAGACCTCCCTCTCTCGCGGCCGGTAAAACTAAGCCCAAGCCCCGTCCCGGATGGGTTGTCGGGCCACAAACCTCTCGCCCAAACCGCCTCCACGTCATCGTTTCAAGTCATCATGCCGGTCCACGATCGACCCCGCATGCAAGCCTCTATTTCCGACTCTGACTGCTCCATCCCTGTCCAGAACTGCTGTGTCCACGCAAGGTTGGCCAACTAGTAATGGCGATTCTCCGGTTGCCAAAAGGTCCATCAGATCGCATCCAGAACCCGCATCGAGACTATTGGGTGTAGTAGGTGGGGTACAGGGGGCAGCACGTTCTGGAAGGATCGAAGATGTTGATCCTGGAGGCGGAAGGTGGAGAGGGTGCGGGAAGGAAAACGGGCGCGGAAAAAGTAGTGGGTCCAGGAGGGGCAAGAAGGAAGGGTACGCCAGGGAGTGTGGGGGAAGAAGGAGGGAAGCGGTTTAAGATTTAGTAGGGAGGACGAACTGCAGCTGAACGCATGATGCCGACTTTCCATCCCCCAAAGCACTCAGCGCCGATCCAGCCCTCCAAAGATCCAAAAAGTTTACCTATCCCCACTTAGATTCCACCCCCCACCCAACCCGGCCTCGCCTCTCTTCCAATCCACATTGTCAATTACCCCTCTCTTTTCAACCGGCACCCAGACATCAACCACCACCAACCACCACCACCAACAACCATTAACCATCACCAACCACCACCAACCACCACCAACCACCACCAACCGCCACCCCTACTGCCCCCCCGGGCCCCCACCTACCAGCACGTGTTGGGTGTAGGTCCCAGGCACAGCGTATCCAGGCTCACACTGCGATCAACCTCGACACAAACATGCCCGCCGTTGGCCTGGCCCAGGTTCCAGCCGATGGGCGTGGCCTTGAGCGTCTCCTCGCCCTTACCGCCCCAAGAGGTGGAGATGTTCTTCCACTCAGTTGCCCCCGCGGCCCTCAGGCTGAAGCCAAGTACCTTGGTTCGCACCGCCTCGTTCGCCCAGAACTCCACCTTCTGGAAGGTAGTGGCGTTGGTGCAGAATTGCTGTATTGCAGCGTTGCATTTGGCCGAGCATCCAGCGTTGGTTTCGGAGTTTGAGTCGTCCAGGGGTGTGCCGGGGGTAGGCAGGGGGGTAGGCATGGCGAGAGTGGAACGTGGGGACGAGGCGGTAGGGAGGGGGAGGGGGGGGGAGGGGGAGTGAGGGGGGCCTCAAATGGAATTTTGCCCTCACAGCAGAAAAAACTGTGGCTCAGCGCCCGTTCGGGGGAGAATGCTTCGGAGGTCGTTCCCGTTGGGGTACGGTTAGGTGCCCCTGGCCAGTGTCAGATTGATGTGTAGTTATACACACGCATATACACACACACACACGCGCGCGCGCACACACACTCTTTGCAGAGCTCGGAGTTGCCGCGACGTGGCTGGGATGGAGTGGGAGCCGACCACCCAATCATTTCGGTAGTGGGTGGCAGAATGCGTCCCACACATCATACACAAACACAGAGACCTGAGCCTTGTCACGCACCACACGGGACAGGACCCATCCAGCCGACTACCCCCAACCATTCCCCAACCGTGCAAGGGACTCAACTCCTAAGGGCGACATGCTTACCCCCGGAATGGCGTCCACCACTTTAAAGAGGAAGCAGTACAGAATGGATCGGGATCGACGGCCCGGTAGTTCTGTGATGAGGTCGCTCGGTGCGAAGGGCGATACCCCCTGTGTGATATTGCACCTGCAGCAGCGGCAGTAGCGACACCAACGGCATCAGAGCCCGAAACAACAGTAGCAGTAACAAACTGCAGTAGAAAACAGCAGCCACAACAGCAGTAGCAGTAGCAGCGCGATGCAGCCACGGCCACGGCGGCTGCGGCTGCAGGCCACCGTAGCTGTGAGGTAGCGGCTGCGCCATATCATGTAGCAGCTACAGCTACCGCTTCGTTGCGTTACGTGAGCACGGCAGCCCCCCGTGATATAGCAGCTGGCGGCTGCATGAATTTCGAGGCCTCTACGAACACCTCGCGATGCCGGTTGCTATCATTGCAATGCGGTATGTTGAGATGTGCCTGATGTGTGTGTGTGTGTGTGTGTGTGTGTGTCTGTGTGTGTGTGTGTGTGTGTTACATGGTTGGGGGTGCGTGATGGGGGTGCGTGATGTTGAGATGTGCCTGATGTGGTTCTAGGCGCCGGAGTTGAAGGTGTGCTTGGAAGGGCGGGCGACAGGGGGGCCTTGAGTCCCCAAGGGTTTCAGAGTGATGTTATACAACATCATGTGAGGTATGTGCGGTGTGTACCCGAGCCGATCTCGCACCACCACCCATGAGTGATCGCGGGTTTGTTTAGCGGCACTGGCAGACACCCTGCTGGTGCGAGTGCCGTCATCAATTCGGAGGCCCGAATGTGAAGCAGCTGCTGGGTGTGCGTGCGCGTGTGTGCGTGCGCGTGTGTGCGTGTGCGTGTGCGTGTGCGTGTGTACGGGTGTACGAGTGTACGGGTGCAGGTGCGGGTGCGGGTGTCTGTATGCTTGATCACGCGCATGTATGGGAGGTGGGATGGAGTGGGGGATGGGGGCTTGCATTTTTCATACAGCGGCCCCTCTAAACCCCAATCTATGGAGTCCACAAGCACACCGGGATCGAGCAGTTGATGTCCCGCTCCCCGCTCAGGTAAATTTCCGCATTCCAGCTATTCAGTGTAATCGCCTTCCTGCCATTAGTAAATATGTATCTTCTGTGGCCCTCCCAAACCTCGCCGCATGCCTCTTGCCCTCTCGGCCTCGTCGCCTCTCTGGTCGACTGCTACCCGCGGAACCCCCGGGCCCCCAGGCACCCAGGGCACTTCCGTTTTTTAGGGTTCATGTAGCTGTCCGCAGCCACACCGTGCGGTACCCGCGCAATCACCAGCACATCACCAATCCTCAGCCACCGTCGGCGCCCGGTAATCTGTAAACCCATAAATGCCGTGCATTGCGGCAACTGCTTACACGTGCATCATCTGTACGCATGCCTATACGTTTGTTTGGCTGTCTGTCCGTCTGTCTGTCTGCCTGCCTGTCTGTCTGTCTGTTTGTCTGTCTGTACCCATGTATACTTACACACACTTAGGGAAGGGGAAGGGGTTGGGTTTGCAGGCTGTGGACTTTACTGCGTCCAGGCAGCTGGGTGGCAGAGATCCAATATCGGTGCCGTTGCCACCCACAGCCACGGAAACGGTGTAGTTGCTGAGAGCCACCGGGCAGGAAGAGCTCAGGTTGCCAGCGACCTGAGACAGCCACGAGATTGCCATGTCGTCGATGAAGGGCTTGAGCTTGGCACCGTCCGCATCCGACATGAAATCGCCACAGATTTTGACTTGGGTTCCCTCGCACGACACCAATGAAAAGTTTGTAGAAATGGCGGCGTCGTTGCCGTCCGCCTGGTTTTTCATGTCGTTCGCCACTACGGTCGCCAGACTGGCGCACTGGCTGGGGGTGAAGCTGTAGGGGCGGCTGATGGAGCCGTACGGCGTGAGAGAGAAGTAGACGCAGGTCTTGCAGGGGTTGACGTTGACCTCTTTGAGGGGGCAGCAGTCATCCAGGGTGTCGAAGAGGGCGGCGGAGCAAGTGCCATTGGGGTAGCCCGGCGGCGGCACGCAGAGCTGTTGCAGTGTGGTGCAGCCCTGGCCAGCGCGGTTGGGTTTGAGCGTGATGCAGATCTCGGCGCCGTCGGCGGTGGTGAGGTTGAGACCCATCTGGGTGAGCTTGAGAATCATGGCGCTGGGGGGGCCCTGGGATGCCTTTTCAATGACGGGCGCAATCTTGGTTCGGACACCGTTGACCGTGGCCACGGCGGATACGCCCGGGACCTTGCAGTCCGGGTTCACGTTGAGCTGAGTTACCGGGCATGGAAAAGGGGTCATTGTTGCGCGGAAGTTAAAATTTTTTGGAGGAAATTTGAGTTTCAAAGCCGTTAATTGCTGGAACCTGGAATTGTGTGTCCGTCCCAGGCCAAGATGCATTAGTAATGTGCAGCTATGTCAAAGCTGACGTTCATTCGTCACCGCGCTGACTAAGCTATGCCAGGATTTACAAAATGATTTCCGCTTTAATCTGGTGTGGTTTGCGGAAGAGTCGGTATATAGTGCTTGCATGCTGGCGTTCTTACAGGGCATGCAAAGAGCCGCGCACTAGGTAACTAACAATTGGATTGTTAATGCAGATAGAAGTTTACATAAAAATGTAATATTTATGCATGTAATGCAACAAATGCTAGCAAAAATCCACCGGGCTATTCTAGGGCCATCCACCGGGTGCCGGACGACCGACACAAATTTGCCCTCGGCACAGAGTTACCTCAAGCTTCTTCAGGTCGGCCCTTGTGCAGCAGTAGCTCGTGCATCCTGATGGAATTTTAACCTTCACCTTAAAGCAAAAAGTGTCGTCAGCCTTGGCCACGACTGCGGGCTCCAGGCTGTATGCTGCCGGCAAAGATGTGTTGCACTGGCAGTAAGGAAACAATGGGAACTTCCCAGTCTGTGCATGACCTTGATTTACGTAATACCTGAATAAATAGCAGAGCAAGGCGATTGGGGCCAGTGCTCATTGAATTTCGGTAGTGGTGCCAATCGGCAAGAATCGTGGACCGTTACAGACTCCGAAGAGCGACATGGTGGCAAGTGAGCAAAAGATAATGCAAATGTTATTGTGGTGCAGACGTTCTAGGGATTGTTAAAGGAGCACCGCTGGGACGCCTCCGTGCCGGTCTGGCATCTGCCTAAGGTACGTGCACAGGGAGCGCTGGAAAGCAGGCTAGGACAGCTGAATATAGATCTCTACATGGCATTAAGCCAATTTCTTAGAAGATATCAGGCTACTTGGGAGGAATTTACGAGCGCGGTGGTGAACTCACAAGATGCCAACGATGGCAACGGCCACTGAGGCACGAAGCTTCATGGCTGCAAATCTTGATCCGTAATACAATGTTTACTCTATTCTGATTTGAATATATCTGTGTAATAATGCAGGACGGCGGGCGACGGCGGGCGCCGTGTCCGCCCGTACTGCGGTTACATGGTTCCATTTCTATATCTACTTGAGATTGCTATTGAATCCATAAGAGAATCACTAGGAAATCAGAATAAAACTAAATACTATAATTACCAAGGGATGGAGCGAGAATCTGGCAGCAGGCCTGCGCGAGGCAGAACACAAATCGGAGACTACCGACAAGCTTAATATAATGCAAGCATGATTTGACATAAGCCTTAGTATAGTAGTGCTGTAAAACGGTTAATGTGCCGGCTGGCTTGCCACATGTTAACCAAAATGTCGCCTTGCCCCACTACAACATGTACGATACTTCGTACCTGCAGCGTCAGAGCTGGCAAGTCGGCAACATGCTGCTGGGCTCTCTGCCTTCAAATATTTTTTACGGCTTTTACTCCTTCCATTTTTGCGTAAGGGATATGTCGTTTAGCACCTTGCCTCTCTCCTAGAATCTGTTATAGAGTCGCGTTCAATCTTTGCCTTGTACTCTGTGCCGCCGGAGAGTAAAGCGATTCATGAGCATGGGGGTTTGTGTGCCCATGAATCCAAGTCATATCCCGCATGGCCCTCGGTTGACCAAATGTCGCTTTGCGTCATTACTACATGAATACCTACATCGTACCTGCCAAAATAGGGTACACAGCGCCGCTATAACTAGCTGGCATATTAGTTAATAGAACTCATCGTCGATCCCGTTGTGATATCCAAGTATTGAGTTTCCATCATATCTTATACGGTAACTTGAGAACTTCGTCTTAATCCGCGCGCTTTTGTTCAACATTTCCGAAACTCACGAAAACGAAAGGATTGGAAGCTTACAAAATTGACAAAATCTTAGCGAGAATGCAGCGGGATAAGGAATAGGTATCATCCAACTCATCTCCCTACGCCTGTTCGTACAGCGCGGTTGCTACACCCGTTCTGGGCGTTTGCATACGGTGTAAGCGAATATGCAAAACTCACCGAGAATGAGAGTGGCTTGAGCTAAATATGTTCCATCTTTCCAGTTCACGAAAGCCTGCAACGTCCGGAAAACGAGGGGACACCACGCATACTTAGACTAGTTACTACGTGAATGCCGACCGACCGGGCAAGAGTGACCCTACCAGCAGGAAAATGGAATCAACGCCGTGCTATCGCGACAAGCTGGCAGGGCGTCCAGGTTTAGCCGATAAGGCTTTGCTATCAAAATAGCGGCACTTTCTGAACTTGCCAACTGTTGCCGGCGATGTGCGTTTCGCTGCGTTCATAACTTAATGCTTGACTCATGACAACCATCACAAGCATTACAAGCATTATTAAGGCAATGAAATATAAACAAAATCGCTATGGAATGCGCATGCTGAGGGCCCTCCAAAAAAACAAATAATTGTTAAAGTTTTTAATATTTTTTGTTTTAAAATAATGATAATAAGCAGAATTATAAGAATAACTTGTTAAGTAATTTAATTTTTGTGTTTTTTGGCTTACTTTACTACTTATTTTTTTATAAAATGTACTCGACTTTGGTTCCCCTTCTTCCCCTAAAGGGAAAGAAAACGAAGGGAAGAAAACGAAGAAGAGACTTTGGGGATGACCTAAAGGAACAAACTGTTATTGGAATATCGTGCTGCTGCTGCTGCTGTTGCTGTTGATGGGGTGTTACACTGTGGGCGGCTCGCCCCGAGAAAAGGACGAGCACCGGGGGCCCTGACCGGGGGCCGAAACACAGCGCAGGGGCAGGCGCGCGGCTCTACGTCCGTCTGTTCCTCCGCGCGCACCTCACTCCCTCACTCACGCCAACCGGGACGCTCTCCCAGCCCCTGGCTAGGCAACACAGCGGCGCAGAGGACTGCGAGCCGAACTAAGTGAGAGCCGCACGAGGTGCGCCACACCACCTCTGGGAACCCTAAACAGGCTATCTGGCCCCATTGCGCCTGGCCAGCCTAGTCGCGCGCTCTATCCCCTCTAGACCGCCAAAACAAGGACAATCAGAAAACACCACCGGGGGCAGGGGCTCTACTCAGGGGGCTCCACTATACACTCAAAAACCGAGGCAAGGTACGGCCCCTCAGCAGGCTCTCCTAGTCAAGGACACCCACGCAGCCAGCAAGGCAAGAGATACACGGAGGACCACGGGCCTGAGACGCCAAACCACAAAAGCTGAGACACGGTTGCACCGAGAAAACAAACACAACGCGGACACTCGCACACTGGTCCTTTAAGGCCAGCTGTTCACCTACCACTAGCAACGGACACTTACCGAGGACGGCCAACACTACCTCACTGGTCCACTCACAACCGAGGCAAAAAAAACTGGTCCGTACGGTTGCGGGCTTCCGGGCGCAGCCCAGCGCAAGACGAATCAAAAACACCTATTGCCGCGGGGGGGATGACAAGCCAGCACGGCGCCCCCCAATAAAGCCCGGAAAAGGCACGGCTCACAGACGCTGCCTGCTCCCGCTAACCACACCGAAATCCCTCCCCTCCTGACCCTGACCGGCCGGAACCAGCAACACCTGTTCTCCACCTCCATATCACTCTTCTCCACCGCTTTCCCACCTCCTCTCCACTCCCACAAGCCACCAACGTGTTCTCTACTCTGATGCCAGACAGCACAGAACCCATTCCCCTCACTCCGACGGGCCCCAATTCCCGGGGAGAGGGCAACCACACGAGTACACAAAACACACACAGCCCGGATCCTCAACTCCCCCTGCTAGACCACGCTCAGGGCGCTGCCCCCTCGCCCTGCCCTCCACCTGCCCAGGGCCTCCCTGCTCTCCTCGCTCCCTCACCTATCCCTACTCCTGGCTTTCTCACCCCCTCCCTCACTCTCCCTGCTCCCTTTCCAGTAAGACCTCGACCCGACTCTATCTCGGCTATTTAGGCCGTGATCTCCACCGGTGCTGCGCACCGCATCCGTTCCTCCACGACCGCCAGGATGGGGTGCTGCGGCCCGACTCTGTCCCAGCCGTGTCTGGGGGTCTCCAGCATTGCGAACGAGCGCAGACGCGCCCAGAAGTCTGCCACCGCCCGGGCGCGTGCGCGGGCCAGTGGCGAGGCTCCTGTTGCGCCCGCTGTTGCTGCTGCTGCCACCGCCTCGCCCCCTCCCGCCCCTGCTTCCTGCGTTGGCCCGTCATCCGCTGGGGCGTTTAGGGTGGGTCCTTCTTGCTGCATTGCACCTCCCGCCGGGGTGAAGAAATCTGTGATGGCCCGCTGGCGGGATCTCTGCTGCTGGGGCTGCCCCATCATCTGTCGCTGCTGCTGCTGCTGCTGCTGCTGCTGTCCCGCCGTTGCTGTCGCCCCCCTCCGTCCCTGTCGCCGGGTTGCTGCTCGGAGGCAGCACCTGCCGACTTCCATGGCGGATAGCGCCGCTAGGGCGATTACATCCCAAGGGCCCTGCTCACACCCGGGTGGCGCTTGGGCAAGCCAGAGCTGCTGCCGGGTGGTGGTGGCCCCTACTGTTGTCTGAGTGTGTGGCAGGTGCCTGTCGATCTGCTCCCGTACGGCACGTGCGACTGGACATTCCCAGAAATGGTGCAGACGCGGTGGGCAGGGTCGGCCGGCGGCGCCCCCATAGGTCCCACACCCGCATGGCTCAGTGGGCACCCGGGCTAGGTGCGTGTTGCCAGGTAGGGGCACGCCATCCACGGCGAGACGCCACATGATCTCCTTGTTCTCATTCTCCCAGCGCACCCCATGCCACAAACGTGCCAGGGTTGCCTGAAAGCGGCTAACCTCGGCAGAATTGTCAGGCTGGGCCTGGGTCTCGGGCGTGTTCAGGGCCTCATGCACGAAGTCGGTCATCAGGCGTATTCGCCGCTCGTCCACATGCCCGTTCTGTAGCTGTGTCGCTAGACTGACCGTTAGGCGGCGGAGCGGCACAGCGTCC